CCATGTCGGTTACGACGTGACAGCCAGGGTACTACGACGTGAATGTGACTGTACCACTTTGTAGCCGCTGAAATCTTAATGACAGCGGCTATGGGGCAGCCTGTAACGGTGCACATACTGATCGTTGTGAGGTGTTGCGTATTTGACGATGTACAATCGTCTCGAACATGATGCTTTTCTGCGCCACGATTGTCCATGCCGCTTGACGGATCCAGTAGTTGGAAAGTCTGTTCAGTGGAGAACCTAGCTGCGCCAGGTTGTGGTTCGACTCAATACCCCATCTGATCATCTCAATCGGCTCCTTCCGTCTTGCATTCCGAGAGATCTATCGCGTCCTTCAATCTTACACCTATGTCTTTGAATCATTCCTACTGGTCGGGTGTGCAAGACTGGCCCATCTACAACACTTGATGTAGCATTGCCTCGTGGCTTTACCCATCACCCTCCGTTTTCTATAATACATTGCTTATACCTCGTCACTAACCGATCCACTGCAGACCGTGTCATGAACTTACCAGGCCCTCCCGGCGACCGTTGAGCCGACAGGGGTTCTGGAGTTCGCAGTGTCTCGGACAGGGTTGAAGCGAGGATCTGCGGCACAGTCTAAACCCAGCTCGCATCAGAACTCTAGTCCGACCACATCCACCTCACCACCACCGACTTTGCGCCATTCTCTACATCAGCGCTTCCGTGCTTGAAATAGCCACCCATGAATCCAAGTATAGTGCTCAGCGTCAGAAGAAATTACGCGGTTCAAACAACAACCAACTCGAAGAGTACGGTTGCGCTATGATGAGGGCGAAGGGGGGAGGTTCACTGGACCCTGACGGAGACGGCCAGTACGGCAACGTCAAGCAATGACGTCTTACTGAACCCGTTCAACCCGGTCGATATCACGGCAAGGCCAGAGCGAGAGGGTTTTCCAAGGCAGCCGACTAGTGTTCGGCGCAACGGTGCCTACACGGGTTTCGCTGCTTCCGCTGCCCAGGTTACCTAGTAGTATGCGTGTGGCTCGCATGAGGTTGAAACTCCACTTCTACCCATTGCGGGAAGATGCGACCTGTAATATGAACCGACTGGATCTTTGCTAATGCGGGTCCTCTAGCCAATGACTGTATAGACGCCTGAGGACCGCTGTTCCGAAACCGTGCGTTGCTGCTACCGCCCAGTGGTTTTGTCATATACCGTTTGGAGTCTCATACCCGTCTCTTGTCTCTTACGTCTAATGCTCACGCTCTTTCCCCTTCTTTCGTTGCTCTGCTGGCAGGCTTAGCCATTTCCTTCTTTGACGCTGAGCTGGTTACTCTTTCGTTTACGACGTCAGTCTCACGGTCTCCATGAATACCTAGTCGATTTCCTTTCTTCAGCCGCTGCTGGTTACCAGCGAGACAATATTATTTCGTATACACCCGTTGTAACTAGGGCCGGCGAGATGGAATCATGGGCCGACCATTTCCCTCAGCTCGAGGTCCGATCGCACTTCAACTTAACTCTCAACACTTCGGCTGTCCGTCAAGTTCCCTGGACACAAACAAACACAACAAGGACACTTATCGCAAGTCTACAGCTGCAACAAGTACAAACGCTTCGAACGACACATCTTACCCTGGGAGCATTTAGCCTTGCTTTGACATTATTGACGGTCCATCGAATCGTGTCGGACGCGCGACGAGCAGCAGCTCTTCAGGTTCTACCCAGGAAGAAGTCAGTGCAGAGTAATGGAGGCTTGAAGATTAGCTAACAAGCTCTAGGAGGTTCAATGCATTACACAATGTCCACCCTGCCGAGACTTTCCCGCTCGCGTTGGCCTGCGGTGCCGTTCTACAACAAATCATCTTCGTATCAGTGCAGGGCACTACACTTCATAGTGTGTTTTCAAGGAGTTGTCGCGGATTGGCAATGGTCACATTTCCTGGTACGCCTAGTATACGTTGCGATTTGCGGACGAAGAGACTGACGGGTGGCAGCTATATTTCTGATCGGATACATCACCTTGGTTTTCGGTATCGAAGTAGTGGTCAGAGCCTACAAACAAGACCGATTCGCCCCACGCGGCAAGTGGAACACGATAATCTGTATCGCCGTTGTATCGTTCATGCTTCTACTCACCTGGATGCCAACCGTTGCCTGGCCATCGCCAAACACCTGTTTTGGTGGTCTCATCTGGTTTCCTATGCGATACGATCTTCTTATGTTGATCTTTCTTTCGGTTCTTGTTTTTCTCTTACTCTTGGTGGCCGCCCTGATCAGCATTCAACTGATGAGAACGCCGGATCTGGATCACAATGAGCGTATCTCAGCTTCACGCATGACCTACTTCTTGATTGTGGCTGCACTGATCTACGTAAGTATTCATACTACTTCCCTAGCTTCCCTAGCTGACAATAGTAGACTCTCGTCATCCCGGTGGAAGTTCAGTCTCTTCGACGAGAATTTATGGAAGCACTAGCCGCTTCTCGGATCGCTGAAATCTCGCTCTTCTCCTCAGGAATGGTCATCACCTTCTTCCACCTCTTCCTTCGTACGAATGCGACACGAATGGTCATTCGTCCCATTGAAGAACTCAAGGCTCCTGCGAAACAACAACGACCAAAGATCCGGTTCTTCGGCCCTAGCGATTTGGAGATGCAGATCAGCGGCCCAATGGCACTACAAACAACTCAGCGTCTACACAGCCAACAGGGTCTCATTGACGTTGGGCCAGAGAAGAACCGTGGCGACTTTGACCCCGAGTACTTCGAACGACCAGAGCGAGCTTTGACACCGGCATCGACCAAACCTGGAAGCCCGATCGATCTCACAAAATGGCCTCTACCACCTGCTCTCGATAACGACGCTACAACACATGAACGTAAGCAAAGCTACTCCCTGTTCCCAACACGCGCAGAAGAGGTACCTCGCCTTCCCCCTACTGTCTACGATCCGAAGGCTACGTCAGACGGTCCCTCGGTTTCCAAGCTTGCCCTACGCCGCTTTACACGACGAGGCTCGGTCACCAATGTCAGCGATGCTTTCGACTTCCTTAGCAAGCCCAAGCTACCTTTTGCAGAACGGCACCAGCGCATGCAAAGCACCGATAGCAGCGCAACAGTTCAGATTGGCCTCCGTTTCTCAGTTGCGCCTGCGACACTTGCAGCAGCCAAATGTACAAGAGCCGAACGGGATACACCACCGTTACAGCGAGGCGTTACCGATTCAAGTGAAAATTCCTTGGGTCTCCCGATCCAGAAGCCTTCTACAACAAACACATCACCATCAGAGGAGATGCCCAGCCCCAGCACATTCCCCCAACCACCCCCGCGTGGTGACTCGCCAACTCGACCCAGAGCAAACAGCCCGGGACGGACCCCGGCCTTCCCTCTCACCCCGGCAGCTCAATCTAGCGCCTATCTTCAGGCTCAGCGCGAGAAGTTACTGCCCTCTCCGCCACCGAAATCGCCAAACCCTCCCCCACGCTTTGCAACTCCTACACAACCTGCCGTCCCCGCACCTGCCTGCATAAGCGGACTGCGGATGAACCCTGTAACACCCGTTGCCTCAGTTGGTTCACCCACCACATCATCACAACCAGCGACACCAGCATCAGTTACCAACCTCGCACAATCAAACAGTGGCCGTGCATCTCCGTCACCCACAGCCCGCATTCCGCTTGGTGCAGGCACAATGTCACGAAACCCACCACCCAATGGCTGGATCTGAGCGGTCTGCTTTGAGTGGCATCGCATGAAACACAAGGGTGCTTTTCTCGGGTCTTTTTTCCTTTCTATCGCTAGACCGGAATCGGCGACGAGCCGCTGTACGATAACCTGGGGAGATGCAGGTCTCTGGATTTCTTGTTTCTTTGCTTCGGTGACTTGAGTGGTTCGTGTCTGGGCAACATACCCACACAGGCGTTACGGTTTCGGTTTCATGTTTGCACAACTCCTGCGACAGCGTCTCGCACAGGCCATCTTGGCCTTGTTGCATGAAGGTCATGGGCTTACTATAGGCCTTCAGACCCTTCCGGGCCTTCTTCGTCACGTCGTTTACGATACGAACATTCATTCACGACACCGGTGCTGCGCACCCTGCTACGGAATTGGGCACAGTACATCCGCTCTCTATACCCATACCTTTCCATCTCTTCCTCTCCCCCTATTCCCCAGTTATCTTTCTTCACATCTCATTTATCCCCCCATTGCCTCTTCATTGAGCTTCGTAATTATTCAAGAAGGCGGTAGTCGATCTTCTGTTACATATAGTACACGAGCAGAGTCTGTCAATCTCGTTGGTTCGATTCGAAAGTAGCAGAAATATAAACAAATGAAAACCATCTCTTCATGTCCTCATTCCTATATTCTACACCCTGGTGGCTCATTGTTGGGTCGTCGATAGCCCATACGAGGAGGTTCATTTTTCGAGTTGTACCTACGACTAAAGATATTCTTTCAATGGTACTCCTTATAAGAAACTAGCTTCCTCGGTACTGTGTGTAGATTATCTCAATATTTCTGTCAACGCGAATAGGCCCTTTAGTTATTTGACATCCAATCTCAGCCGCTCATCCATATGCCCGTCCTACCTATTCTCCACCGAAAGATTAGTAACCGAAACCCTTGTGACCGCTCACTTTATAGTATTGCCCAGCCACGTGTTAGTCGCATCACCATGCGTTCGACTCATCTGCTCGAAACAAAAGGCGAATGGAAAATGGTGGATCTACGCTTAATTCCCACCCAGGTTCCGGCTTGCTTGCCCTGGAGAGAAGTCCAAGATTTGGAATACTGGTTCTTGCACGAACGATGCTAGGGTCTTCACTTGGTCATTGCCCAGTCGGGCCAATTGATAGATCGTCCATCCCTTCATCCTGGCTTAAGACGAGATGCGTCGGTATGCAAGGAACTGATGACGCGAATGACGCCAACGGTGGAACACAACACGTACGCATTGATATCATTCCTTCATTGCTACGTAACTTATACAACCATGACGCTTATACTACAGAACAAGATTATACTATTTCATCGTCTCCAGCGTTGCCAGAACTTCCAACCCACTTTCTCGTTGCCTTCTTCTGGCATACGGAACTTGGTTTGCTCTTTCCCTCTTCGCCTTCCTACCCATGCGAACCAAATCACTAAGCCCACTACCATGAACGCTACGACGAGTAATGTCTGCAATGGCTCCGCGAACACGGCTCTGCTCAGCAGGAAGAGACTAACGCAGCAGAAGATGATGGGCGTGGTGATCCAAGTTTTGTACGGGCGTTCTAGATCTGGTTCGCGGACGCGAAGAATAATGAGGCCAAGCACGGTTTGGAAATAGAACGCGTACCCTGCCACGCCATAGAAGGTGACAAGGGTGTCGAAAGAGCCAACCACGATGTAGATGGCTGTGAGGACGGCGTTGAGTACCATGGCAGAAATAGGTGTGAAGAAGAAGCCTGCATCAGCATCTGCAAACCAGCTCACTAGCTTCTTGGGTATCTTGCTTTTCCCTTGTGTTGCGTTCATGCTGTGCAAGCGGATTGCCCTATGGTTCTTTCCTAGACCGATATTTCCGAATAGAGAAGGAAGGTAGCCTTCTTTTCCGGCAGCGTAGACAAGGCGGCCAGATGTGAATGTTGTTGCGTTCAATGCGCCGAAACATGATCCCGAGACAAACAGTGCGAGGATGAAGGAGCCAATGGGACCAAATACTTGTGATCCAAAAGCTACGGCGACGGTGTTGGAGGATTCGATGACAGAGGTGGGGAGTACGAGGAAGTAGGATATGTTGGCTAGGATGTAGCAGAGTATGACGAGTGGGAGGGAGGTGTGGATGACGCGAGGAAGGTCACGGGTTGGGTTTTTGAACTCGGCAGTCACGTAATTGACCTGGTACCGTCAGTAGAAGTTGATGAATTGCAAGAGTATTGACGTACGTTATCCCAACCATCGAAAGCCCAAAGTCCGGCATAGAGTGCCACGGCCCAATTGCTAACGTTTTCACTAGTATCCTCAAACCAACCGCGATTCTTCCAGTCCTCGTTCGCGTCGCCCTTGTACGAGAGCCCCGTTGCTGCAACTACGATACCGATTACTGTGACTCCCGTGAGTGCAAAGAACTTCAGAAACATGAAGACGTCGGCACTTCTTGTGCCCAGCTTTGTGGATACACAGTTGAGTAACGTAACGGCCACCAGTCCCACCAGAGCCACGCCCTTGTTCAACCATGTGCTCGCGTCTACAGCTTCGGCACCAATTATTGCGCGCACCAGGTACTCTCCAAATATTATTGCAATGATGGCTGCTGAACCCGGCTTCAGCACCACGACTGCGCACCATGTAAATAAGAATCCCGCCCATTCTCCGAAAATTTTAGACAAATAGACTTGTGCACCACCATTCAGTGGTATGGCACCTCCGAGCTCTGCATAACTCGCGGCACCTGTCCAGGCCAGAATACCAGCCACGACCCAGACTATAAGGGACGCGCCTGGTGATCCAGCATTCTTGTTGACTTGTGATGGCGAGGAGAAGATGCCACTTCCGATTATAAGCCCAATTACCAAGGACAATCCATTGAGGTATGTTAAACTCTTGTTCTTCTCCAATGAGCCGCCATTAAGCGCATTCGACGGGTCTAGGGCTGGGTTTGAAGGCGCGCCCAGTGCTGTATATCCCTGCGCGGTGCTAGAGAGGGGAAATAGGTTGGGCGCGAAATCGAAGGCTGAGGATACGCTGTACGAGCGATTGTGCCGTGGTCTGTTCGGATCGTGGCCGGCAGGGTTCAGTTCTGACAAAGGGTCCTCATCGTCAAAGGACAGTCTGCGCGAAGAAGGCGCGCCCGAAGTAGAAGACTCTTCGGAAGTCCGCCGTGAAGGGTGCGACGAGGAGGCCAATGAGGCAAGTTCAAGCGAATCGCGAGTCGGCGGTGGGAGGTTGGAGTAGCGACCGGCCATGATGCGGAGGAGATTTGGAAGAGCTGCGCGCAACTCTACCTGCTAGCCATGGAGGGAAGATATGATATGGTAAGCGAAGTAGTATATAGGGGTAGTATCCAGCACCCCTTTGTCAAGCATTCACAGCTGCCGTGTATGAGTGGTGAAGCTTGCATGCGCTGTTGAAACCGACGGGCTCCTATGCCGTCATGGGACTAGCTCCCGTTTCGACGCTAGCTCTGGAGGCTACATTGGGTTGTGGAAGCTCATCTTTGCACACTGCATATGCCGTGGAGGTATTCTCCAAACTCGGCGTTGATGTCTAAACAAATGAAAGACGGTGTGTCCCTCCAGGTTACATCATAGACACAACGTGAGTAGACGACCTTCTTCTTCGTAGTCGTCAGACATCCAAAGTGTTTGCACGAGCCTCGTGTTATCGATAAGCCAGAAAAAGTGGGAGCCGTTCACAACTGGAGGCTTGGCGTAGATCTGGTTGCGCATCCTTCCGACTATGAATACGACAAGTGTACGACATGCGCATACGACTAGGTGATGCGTGGTCTCAGTCTGCAATCCGTAGGCCGGCGGCGCGCCCCACGTCTCCCAGTCCTCCGATCGCGTATAGCTTTACGATGGGCGGGCACGTTGGAGAGGAAGTCAAGAGCTGAAGGAATCAAAGTCGAATCGCTCACTGCGAAATGGCAACCACACTGGGATCGACTATCTTCCCAATGGCACAACTTGCAGGAGTCCGACAGAGGCAACGCATACGTGCTGCCCATGTTCCCATACCCCTCAGGCACGCTCCATCTCGGCCACTTGCGCGTATACACCATATCCGATGTTCTCTCCAGGTACAAGCATATGCAGGGTTACAAGGTCCTACACCCCATCGGATGGGATGCATTTGGTCTACCGGCTGAGAACGCAGCGATCGAGCGAGGAGTACATCCGGAGAAATGGACACTACAAAACATTGAGACTATGAAGAGTCAGATGCAGGAAATGGGCGGACGCTGGGACTGGGACGCTGTATGGGAAACGATTGATGTAGTCAAGCATGGGCTGATCAATCTATGTAGGAAATACGAACATGCGATCCCCACTTCTACAAACACACCCAGCGCATCTTCCTTATGCTTCATGAACGTGGGCTAGCCTACCAAGCCGAATCCCTCGTGAACTACGACCCCGTCGATAAAACCGTCCTCGCGAACGAACAAGTAGACGCCAATGGCTGCTCCTGGCGCTCCGGCGCAAAGGTCGAGAAGGTGATGCTGAAGCAATGGTTTCTGAAAATCAAGGAGTTTCAAGAGCCTCTTTTAAAGGATCTGGATGCTCTTGCACGAAATGGAAGGTGGCCTGAGAAGGTCCTTGCCATGCAGAGAAACTGGATCGGCAAGTCTGAAGGCGCGCAACTTTGGTTCGACATCGTCTCGACTGACAGCGAGATGCGCTTTGAGCCTGTCGATGTCTTCACTACCAGAGCTGATACATTGTTCGGAGTGCAATACATTGCCCTCTCGTTGCGCCATCCAATCGTCCAGCAGCTGGCCATCGAAGATGAGGAGCTTCGCGCCTTTATGGAGCGAGCAAAAGAGCTACCTCCAGACACCAAGGAGGGGTTCAAGCTGCGAAGGATTGTAGCGCGCAACCCGCTTGCTCATGTACAGGGCTCTACGGGACCTTGTGTTCCTGTATACGTGGCTCCATACGTTTTGGACGATTATGGCTCTGGCGCCGTAATGGGCGTCCCAGGTCACGATACGCGAGACCATGCCTTTTGGCGAACAAATGTTGGTGATGAGCCAGTCAGAGTCGTTGTATCCGCTAAGAAAGGCACCCTACCACTGCCGCTTGTACCACGCAGTGGCAAAGACACACCTGTGACTGAGAAAGGCTTTGTTGCTGCTGACATAGAGCACTTCGGTGGCATGACTTCGAAGCGAGCTGCGAATGAGGTTGTGCAAGCGATAATCAACACCGGAAAGCCAGCCCAGAAAACCGCAAACTGGCGACTTCGAGATTGGTTGATCAGTCGGCAGCGTTACTGGGGTGCACCCATCCCTATCGTCCATTGTGACTCTTGTGGGGCTGTTCCTGTGCCTGAGAAGGACCTTCCTGTCGAGTTACCAAACCTGCCTGACAGTTTCTTCGAGGGCCGCAAAGGCAACCCATTGGCAGAAGACGAGAATTGGAAGAAGACCAATTGTCCGAAGTGCGGCTCGGCTGCTGAGCGCGAGACCGATACTATGGACACTTTCATGGACTCATCTTGGTATTTCTTCAGGTTCTTAGATCCGAAGAACGAGCATGCCTTGGTTGATCCGGCGAAGACTAATAGCGGTATGCCAGTAGACCTCTATGTCGGCGGTGTAGAACACGCGATTCTCCATCTGCTGTACGCACGCTTCATATCCAAGTTCCTTGCAACCACTCCAACATGGCCCAAAGGTTATCTGACAAACGGCGAGCCTTTCACACGTCTCATCACTCAAGGTATGGTACACGGAGAGACATTTACAGACCCCGAAAATGGTCGCTTCTTGCGGCCAGATGAGGTTGACCTGACAAACCCCTCCAAGCCCATCATCAAGGCTAGCGGGGTTACTCCAAACGTTAGCTTCGAAAAGATGTCGAAGAGCAAGTACAATGGCGTGGACCCAGGTGCCACAATCGCCAAGTATGGCGCAGACGCAACGCGTGCGCATATGCTTTTCCAAGCACCCGTCAGTGACGTGCTCGAATGGGATGAGAAGAAGATCACTGGGGTACAACGGTGGTTACATCGAGTGATCAAGCTGTCAACCGCACCATGGATACCTGACGATGAGGTCAAAAGGTTCGTGGTACCGGAACATGTCGACAAGAAACTCCTCAACATTCTGCAAGATGCTTCGACAAGTGGGGACTCTAAGAACGCCACACGCGAAAGCTTGGTGTCTACTATCAGGCCAGATGAAGCGAAGCTCTGGATCAAAACACAAGAAACCATCGCCAGTGTCACCGAATCGTACTCGCAGACATACTCTCTGAACACCATCATCAGCGATCTAATGACGCTGACGAACACTATCTGGGACACTCCACATGCGTCTTCCCTTACACCATATCTCAAATGGTACTCTATGGCGCACCTCGTTCGCATGCTTGCCCCAATCGCTCCTGGTGTCGCCGAGGAAGCCTGGCACCAATTGAATACCTGTACCATATCTCAAACGCATGAAGGCGGTGTACAAACCGTCTTTGCAAGAAGCTTCCCAACCGCCGATCTCGCCATCATACCACTTCTCACCACGACACGCAAGTGTGTAGTTCAGATAGATGGTAAACGTAAATTCGATGTGGACATCCAGAAGCTCCCCGAATCGATCAGCCCCAAAGACAGCAATGCTGTAACGAAGTTTGTCCTGGGTGAATTGGTGCAGACAGACGAGGGAAGGGAGTGGTTCGATAGACAGACTGGAAAGATCTGGAAATTGAGCGCAACAGAGAAAGAGAGCGAGGAGTTTGAGGTAGTACCCGAGGGATGGAAGGTTATTGCTGTGAACGGTGGTGCATTATGCAACTTTGTTGGGCCGAAGAAACCCAAGATCGAAAAGAGTAAATGAAGATATGTTTAGATAAGATCTTACTTTCCAAAGCAGTGTACAATATATGCAGTTCTCTCAACTTTACTGAGCACCTGAAGCATACATCATCTGTTATGGCGTGGCACAGCTATGAAAGTTCTAGCGAATACCTTTAGGGTACAGTTTGGGGTAAGACTTAGATTGAACACAACACGGTTTTTACCTGATGCTTGAAGCATACATATGCTGCCGCCATGTAGCCTGCCAATGCGTTTCTCAGCGACTACCTCCAGGGTATATCTTGGTGTAAAGATAAATCAGAACGGAGTCTTCTTAGAAAAAGCATCGGCATCCAGTTTATGGTTGTGAGATCTCGAGGCGGTTATCCGATCGGGGCAAATCGGAAGGGGGCGTTAGGCGTCGTAACATTGATCGAGAGGGTATGCATGTGGAGTGACATGCCAACTTCAGAGGGTGAGAGCCACTCCATCTGAAAATTGATGGTATTCTAGGAACGTGCTCTAGATATCGTGGGGAAGTTAACTTGTCTGGGTTGTCTCCTCGCCATTAACTAACCTGGTGGGCACTAGTCGCGCACGGATCTCTTGGAACGCCGTCCGCCTTCTTGTCGAGCTGTGAGAAGCTCTTTCCTCACCAACCCACCCTCTCTCCACTCACCAATCCGTCTACCACATATCTCACAATGCTGAAGAGGTAAGCCAAACGCCCACTGAGTCCAATTGACGATGAATTGAGATGGACTGACGCCTATTTCGATAGTGGGATCCAGCAGGCGCTCCGCGCCTCCATGCGCAGGCCGGCCATCCGCCGCAGCGCATTTTCGCCCATGAAGAAGAGCTTCGCCCCAGCTATGTCCACACGCTTCGCCAGCACGGATGCTACAAAGGATGGCAAGATTCACCAAGTTATTGGTGCTATTGTGGATGTCAGTACTATCTGTCTCTTCAGGAAAAGTTTTCTGGTCGATGGTGGTGGAGTTTTGACTTCGCCATTAGCGATCGCATCAAGACAACGGCTACTGACAACCAATTGCAGGTCAAGTTCGACACCGAGCAGCTCCCTGCCATTCTTAACGCTGTCACAACCCAGAACGGTGACCAGAAGTTGATTCTCGAAGTTGCTGTAAGGACGCCAAGCATCGGATATGTGGAACGGCATCACTGATTCAACACAGCAACATTTGGGTGAGAACGTCGTCAGATGTATTGCCATGGACGGTACCGAGGGTCTCGTCCGCGGTTCCAAGGCCACCGACACCGGTGCTCCCATCAAGATTCCCGTTGGTCACGGTACCCTTGGTCGTATCATGAACGTCACTGGTGACCCCATTGACGAGCGTGGTCCCATCAAGGCCACCAAGTACGCCCCCATCCATGCCGATCCTCCGGAGTTCACCGAGCAGTCCACCTCCGCTGAGGTCCTTGTTACTGGTATCAAGGTTGTCGACCTGTTGGCTCCTTACGCTCGTGGTGGAAAGATTGGTCTCTTCGGAGGTGCTGGTGTCGGAAAGACTGTCTTCATTCAGGAGCTGATTGTAAGGACACAGAATGTTTGCAGGTTGAGCAATAGCTAACGGTAAGCAGAACAACATCGCCAAGGCCCACGGTGGTTTCTCTGTCTTCACTGGTGTCGGTGAGCGTACCCGTGAGGGTAACGATCTGTACCACGAGATGCAGGAGACTTCCGTCATTCAGCTTGACGGTGACTCCAAGGTCGCCCTTGTCTTCGGTCAGATGAACGAGCCCCCGGGTGCTCGTGCCCGTGTCGCTCTTACTGGTCTTACCGTCGCTGAGTACTTCCGTGACGAGGAGGGTCAGGATGTGTTGCTCTTCATTGACAACATTTTCCGTTTCACCCAGGCCGGTTCCGAGGTGTCTGCTCTTCTTGGTCGTATCCCCTCTGCCGTCGGTTACCAGCCCACCCTCGCCATCGACATGGGTGTCATGCAGGAGCGTATTACCACCACCACCAAGGGTTCCATCACCTCCGTCCAGGCCGTCTACGTGCCCGCTGACGATTTGACTGACCCTGCCCCCGCCACCACCTTCGCCCATTTGGACGCCACCACTGTCTTGTCCCGTGGTATCTCCGAGTTGGGTATCTACCCCGCCGTCGACCCTCTTGACTCCAAGTCCCGTATGTTGGACCCCCGTGTCATCGGTCAGGACCACTACGACACCGCCACCCGTGTCCAGCAGATTCTCCAGGAGTACAAGTCGCTCCAGGATATCATTGCCATTCTCGGTATGGACGAATTGTCGGAAGCCGACAAGCTTACCGTCGAGCGTGCCCGTAAGATCCAGCGTTTCCTGAGCCAGCCTTTCGCTGTCGCCCAGGTCTTCACTGGTATTGAGGGCAAGCTTGTCGACCTCAAGGACACCATCCGATCATTCAAGGCTATCTTGACTGGTGAGGGTGATGACCTTCCCGAGGGTGAGTTTTCTCCATATCTGTCTTCACAGCGTATAACTAACGTTTCTAGGTGCTTTCTACATGGTCGGTGACTTCGAGTCAGCACGCGCCAAGGGAGAGAAGATTCTTGCTGAGCTCGAGAAGTCATAGACGGACTTTTATGGTGGGTGAAGAGTCGGCCAGAGTGTCTAGGGCAATTCGCTGGTAGTCTCACTTTGTACAAAAGATATACCTCCGAAACTGTGGGACTTTAAGCGGGTGTCATGACGCGTGGCTTCCTGTAACTTATCTTGCATGAAGAGACCGCTTTTTCTTGTTCAACATATCCTGGTCCTGTCTGTGCTCGTGATGATTATTCTGACTGCGGGAGTGCAGTTTAGGGTCTTTGTTCGTGGGTTTCCCACTGCTATGGCTGAATGTACGAAATGTCAAGGACTCAGCGTAGGAAAGTGCTTATGTTCCTCCAGAAGCGTGGTTCAGGACATCACTTTTCACCACTCTATTTTGTTGGTTTGATAGAATAGAGAATATCCTCCAAGACGTATATGTTTGTGTTATTGTTATGCTGAGCAACGGGTGGCCATTATCATAGTCCTTCCCACTGAGTTGGGAAAAGGGCTTCCAACCCCACAAGGGGAAACACTGAACTACAGCAGCAAGGTGCCGACATTCGAGAAGAACTGGAGTGGCATACTTACAACTTGCAATACATGTCGAAGACCGAGAAGTCGGAGGGCCGTCTCCGGTTTGGCTGGAGGTATATCAGTAGCTAACGCATGTATGCTGTATCCCTATCATCCTTGAACTCATGAACCCTCTTATTGCTTTCGTGCTTTTCGAACCCAGAAGTGTTAATTGCCAGAATCGCGGTATAATCAAGCTATAGATGAATACCAGTTTTAGCTAATTTGTTGTTGATAGAAAGAATAAACTTTGAATACTACCGATAAATGTACTACTGAGTATGAGAAATCAGATCAGATAAACAGAAAAGCACCTCATTTACTAAGAACACGTGGAATTATCTCGCGTATAACATACCGGATGATGGGGAACCATGATACAAGCGCTCCATCTAGAAATCACTAACTATATTCCAGACCAGCGATTCTCCTGAAGCACCATGTCTACGGACAACTGTTTGAATACAAACCACACCGTCTTTTCCAAAGACGGATCTTGCGGTTAACCTTTATTTATTCGAGTCGAGAGCATGAATCATCATCCAAACACAGTTTGTAGCAGATAATTGTATTGTCATCGATACGAATGCATTCCAAGCGTACGAGAAGCTTCGAATGCATACATAGGTATCAAAAACTGCGAGCACAAGTCACACGGCTGAACGAACTTCCTCGCGAGCGGCATGTAAGATAGTACCTTGGATAGACTGAGCAAAGGATACCAAATGCAATGATTATATCAACACGACTTGCCGTTGTAAATCTCGATAAAAGTCAAATGATGAAGTTCCGGCCATACGAAGACCTTTGATGACTCCCATCTAGACCCCAAGGGGTTTGAAATTGTGGTATTTATTATCAGTGACAAATGTCGACGTCAAGATTGAAATTTTGCATTAGTAACACGGCGAGGGATCATTCTTCCAGTTCATCGACTCTGCTGACTGAAAGTAAGCCTGGTACTAACAAGTAAGCGCGGCCGCGGTCTGTTCTTTGATCTGAAAAGAATGCTATTACCAAGCTGACACTTCTTATATCTGTGCTGCAAAGACTACCCTCGGCCGCGGATGTGGGCATGTATGCCTTGTACCACTATCGTCAGCTGTGTAACAGAACATCTTCGCAACACGATTTCTGCGCATATACCCATGTTAGTCAAGGTACGGTTTCATACTGCCACAATCCATGATCTCACTCCGCATGGCAGTATCGTGACGTGTTGTAATTACTCCCAATGATCCACTAGTCTCTCATCTGCTCCTCCCTGAATTGCCGCGCACATTACCCGACATCTATGTTCGCTGATCGTTGCTTTGCCGTGTGTGCTATTGCGCCGAAATCCGCTATGATGACGAGTGTGTAGGTGGCTGTGTACTGAGAATTGGCTACTACAGAAAGTGCTGGACTTGGAGAGATCCATAGTGACTTAGTTGAGAGATAGTTGAGAGATAGGGGTAGGCATTTCATCTCATAAATCGGTCAATGAAGACAGTGGGAGGCCCGTTTCTCATCCAGCATATATGACGAAACCAGTTCAATCTCATCCATAGGAATGTGAAGTGCGGTTAACTGCATTCAAGGCAATTGGGAGACCTACGTGATATCGAGCTTGTTAGTCCATGCACTTGCACTTAGTTAGCTATCACTCTACTACCGAGGTAGAATCTGACGTGACGAGGGTAGAGCGCCTTGATTTGAGAGTTGTGTAAATCGTACAGTGTGCTTCTTGCACATGACCGAAGTGGGGGACCGTTAGGTAAACGCGAAAAGCCTCTAGATTTCTGTACAATGAGGACTATTATGACAATGGCCGATCGGCAGCCGCTCGTAACGCTTTCGATCTTGTTGTATGTGACACAGACAGTACCAAACGGAAACTTGACCCAAGAAAAATGTGGTATCGGTATTGGTATGGTAATTGCTGCGACGCTTCTATTCGGGCTCTTTACTCGTCGTTGAGCTTCTCCCTGGCTGGCAGGTCCTTCTCGGACTTGCTCTGTACCATCATTCCCTTGTAGCCAGTGATGGGCTCGGATCCTTGCGACTGTGATGTGTTAGTACCAATACAGATATTTGGGGCCTTGACAACAGCGTCGGAGCTACGCACCTTCAGGTACTCCTCGGTGGCCTCTTGCCATTCCTTTGTCATGGTGCGGGGTCGAATGGGGCTGGCAAACATGCGCGAGAAAGCGAACACGGCAAAGGCACCGAAAATGACGGCAGAGGAGAGGAGGAAGACGTTGCGGCCCTCATCCGGAGGAGGGGGTCGGCGGGGACCGTGGGGACCAAAGGCAATGTAGTAGGCTGTATGTAGAGGATGTTGTCAGCGTAATGTTCGTATGGATAATTTTCCGGTTCGTCGCGATGACCTCGCGTAGGCGCACCAGATGCCGCGGGCTAGCTCGGGTACCTCGATCAAAACACAAGATACGTCATACGAGCTCTCGCAGCACGCAAATGCGCCGGATGGAATTGTACGCACCAGCCTTCTTCTCCTGCATGGTCAACTCCTTCCAGTCGGTCTTCATGCGGTCCCTAAGCGTCATCCACAGATCGGCCTGCTCCTGAGGGGGCATGTCCTCCCATCGCTTCTCGATGTTGGCGAGGGTTGGGTTGGAGATGGCGTGGGCCTGGCGGGATTGCTGAAGCTGGCAGGCTACCGGGGCAGCTCTGGGGAGAGCGGTGCGGGTCGCGGTCGATGACATGGCGGCAGCCGAGCTTGAAGCCCGGGCAATGGATGAGCGCAGCATAGCGGCGGGTGGAGTGGAGAGTGTCGAAAAATGGAAAAGAAAGGGAGAAGCTTCCCGTCAAGGGTCCTACAGCTGCCAATGGATCGTGGTGGTGATGGAGTCGATGGTGGGCCAGGAGAGCTGTCTTGCAAAATGTGGTTGCGAGAGGAACGCCAAGGTGGTGGAACGATCAGTCTTGTGTGGTCCGAGCGCTCCAATTCACCTAACGCTGAGCCTCTCATTGGCCGGGATAGCCATCTATCGTGCGAGGTGAGAGCCTCATTCGAATTCAATCTGAGAGTCACTATGAGGTCAACATAGTCCAATGGTCAAAATAGAGCTGCTATGAGTACAATTGGAGCATGTCGTTCATTGGACGGCTCGCTCGCTCTGTTCGGGTGTGATGCCAGACCGCATGATGAACATCGCAAGAGATAAGACGAGGAGCTATGGATATGCTGACTCGAGTGCATCAAAAGGCTTTGGTTGAACTATATAGCTTCCACGCGTTCGCTTCACTCTCCTTCTTGGGATCCCGAGCGAGTGTGTAACCTGGAACAGAACGCTCGCAAATTCCCTCAAGCGCGGGGTAGATCAGTGTTGCAAAGAACCAAAACGCATATCAAGGTAGTCTGCATATCTTCTAGCCACGTTGAAATGTTGACAGCGCCTACACAAATGGAAACTCTCTTCCAAGTCTGCTTGATAGACGCGCTCGAGTTGCTGTCTACCCGTCCCGTGATCGGAGGCTCGGCATCGATGCACAACAAACATGTCGGGGCCGGCACTGGCCTAGCATTGTCATCTGGAACTCGGAGCTCGAGCTCAAGCTGTCCACGGGTAGCTCCAGCTTTCCTTTACTTCAGTTGCTATATGCAGGTACCTGAGCTCCTTGTTTAATCGCCGTAGCACCTGGCGATCATGTGGCGTGCTAGAACTGCTGTATAACACAGCTCTGTCCATCATAGTGCCATCGTGCCGGCCGCGGATACGCCACGCCTCATGTCAAACCATACTCGACTTTGCCTGGCGGAGAGAATCTCGGTGGTGACACAAAACACTCGCCTCCCCACGAACCGGTGATCCGATCAGACTCTGCCGCGCGCTTTGGTTCATCTTATCGAATGACCAAAAGATCCTGCCCACGAGAGCGACAACGGCTACCTGACCCGCGCAGACGTGTTTTTGACTACGAGTCTGTGCTCCTACTGATTACGAGATGCACGTATACTTCTTTCGTAAGAGTTTTGATAGAGTGATGTCTTGCGTGGCGTGCCGGGCCTGTATGGCCGGTCAGCCGTATGCAATGTCTATGCGAGGCTGCAAGTACACTATCACCAGAGCACTTGGCGTTTCAGTCACGAACGCGTCTGGAGATATTTACGGATGCCTCGGTCAGGGTACTCTTGGAGTAGTTTTGCCCGAGCTGCCCGCCTCCCTCTCCGGTGCAGTCCGCGGCCTCGAGTGAAGGCGATATGCGCCCTCCGAGGCTGTATGCAAATGTGCTTGGCTTAACAAGCAGGTAGCCGGCCGGAAGTGTGGGAGGCTGCAGAGAGTGTAATTGGGCCTAGGCGGCGCTGCATATCGGATTACAGAAAAAGAACTAAAGCCTGTGACGTCCTCAAGCTGGTTGCTATTTAGCTTGCCCCTCCCTCACCTGGGCACCCCACCTTAGCCCAGACCCAACAAAACACTCCGCCCGACACAAAACTCTGTCTCGCACCACTTCTACATCAGCTTGTACCCTATAAAACAGTGAGCTCAGTTCAATTGCCTTGCTTCCTCCTCAGCTTATTGACTTTCGCAGCACTACACTCAGTTCATCATGGTTGTCAAGGTAAGCTTCTTCGTCCACTACCCCGCTGGGTCAGGAGACAACTCCTAACACATTCTCACAGGTTGGTATCAACGGATTCGGTCGCATTGGCCGTATCGTCTTCCGCAATGCGTAAGCTTCACCCGCTCCATTGATTCAATTGTATCAAAGCCAACCGCATGTCACAGTATCGAGCACAACGACGTCGACATTGTCGCCGTAAACGACCCCTTCATCGAGCCCCACTACGCTGTAAGCTTCCCCAAGCACTCAAACTATAGCCATAGCCATCCAAATCGCGACATCAGTCCTTGCGATGCGCTAGGGCTACTCCACGGTTGCAGATTGCAGGCTAACACATCCAGGCCTACATGCTCAAGTATGACAGCACACACGGCCAGTTCAAGGGCGAGATCAAGGTTGACGGTAACAACCTGACCGTCAACGGCAAGACCATCCGTTTCCACATGGAGAAGGACCCCGCCAACATCCCATGGAGCGAGACCGGCGCTTACTACGTCGTTGAGTCCACCGGTGTCTTCACCACTACCGAGAAGGCCAAGGCTCACTTGAAGGGTGGAGCCAAGAAGGTCGTCATCTCTGCTCCCTCTGCTGACGCCCCCATGTTCGTCATGGGTGTCAACCACGAGACTTACAAGTCCGACATTGAGGTTCTCTCAAACGCCTCTTGCACAACCAACTGCCTTGCTCCCCTGGCCAAGGTTGTCCACGACAAGTTCACCATCATTGAGGGTCTCATGACCACCATCCACTCCTACACTGCCACCCAAAAGGTCGTTGACGGCCCCTCCGCTAAGGACTGGCGTGGTGGCCGTACCGCTGCTCAGAACATCATTCCCAGCAGCACCGGTGCCGCCAAGGCTGTCGGCAAAGTCATTCCCGAGCTCAACGGCAAGCTCACTGGTATGGCTATGCGTGTTCCCACCGCCAACGTCTCGGTTGTCGACTTGACTGTCCGCATCGAGAAGGCTGCGTCCTACGACGAGATTAAGCAGGCCATCAAGGAGGCTGCTGACGGCCCACTCAACGGTAAGTTTTCACGTTCGAATACTCTAAACACACCTTCTGACGCGGTTTAGGCATCCTCGGCTACACTGAGGACGACATCGTCTCCACTGACCTGAACGGTGACAACCGCTCTTCCATCTTCGACGCCAAGGCTGGTATCTCTCTGAACAAGAACTTCGTCAAGCTTGTCTCCTGGTACGACAACGAGTGGGGTTACTCCCGCCGTGTCCTTGACCTCCTGGTCTACATTGCCAAGGTTGATGGCAACGCTTAGGAGTCAGGACAGAGCCAGGCATCACCTAAACTCTGAGTTCACTTCTTTATGACCGACTAAAAAGATCGGGCTACCATTGGCTAGGCGCGGACAACGCGGGGATGAAAATAGGGGTTGACCATGAATGCGTTATGCTACACATGAATCAATGAATAATAATCGTCACAACACTACCTTCTTTGATCAAGTGAACGTGAAGTGACATTAGAGCTCCCGTCGTCCGTCTGCATGACAGTGGAGCTGCCCCTGTCGATGCATTTTCTAGCGCTCCTTTGCAAGCTAGTTCCCGAGGTACGACTCTAAAGCGAACATATACTTGTACGCGGATCCCCTTTTCCCGCTTAGTTCCCGGCCTTTCGTTCACATCCCGTAATCTGGCGAAAGAGTTTGCGGGGAAGAACGGGTGTTCTAGGTGGCTTCCGTAACGCGGCATTTATGGGTGTCGAAGTGGTTACTATCGGCTTTGCGGCACTATGAAGTCATGCTGAGAAACTGTCCGGGCAATACGAGCGACCTAAAGTCTACTCGTCCTGGCGATACCGTTCCAATTTGCCCAGTAGTCAAGGTCTACCACTTACATATTGTCGTGTCATCGACATTCAGTGCTGGGAAGATACGTGGCCTGGGTCTGCTGATTGTCGGAACGACTGTGCTACGAATCAGATGGTGAGACTGATACACTACCAGTTGCTGTAGTCTTCTTCACAACTGAACCTGCTTCTATACTGCATCATTTGCTCCTGCAACATAGGAACGATGATGAAGTTAGAGTCGATGGATAGCGCTAAATACCTTGGCATTGCTTAGTCATGTGATGGATCTTGGCCGCGTAGGGAACTCACATTGCTACGCTCCACTGTATCTCCTACTTGGAAGCTCAGCATCAACTGTTACAGAATACAGAAAGTAGTTGTCTGCTTGCAACTCACATCCAATTACTACAGCTTCTTTGCTACGCAATCAAATAGCGAACGTAGGTGAACTCCGTCCCGGTCCATGATCTATCTTCGACACGACGCGACCAATAACATTATTAAGTCTATGCATGATTGGACTCTACTTACAAAATCACAGAGCAAAACAAATTTCCAATTGTATGCCTAGCGTATAACTTACCAGACTTGGTGCCTTCACCCTGCAGCGGCGGCGAAGTGCGACTTACTTCCGCCACCTTGTGCCAAATTATCGGCAATACGTTGCGTCTGCAGCATACCTAGCTCAATGCGGTAGCGATTTCATCAGTAAGTGCGTTCAATCTTACCATTATCGAAAGGTGTCTTGAAGTATTCATGGCACTTCCTTCGCATCAATCATGCATGTTCGTATACCAGATTGCCGATACTCAAAGTACTTTCCGTTTCCCCAGCATACCCGTTTTCTAGCACATTTTGCGAATTTCTCCCTATCTATGCGATTAGACTCAGAGTAAAATACCATGTCATCCTTCGTTCAGCCTACCTTCCCGAAGTCATAGGATCAACTCATCCAGGCCATATGACCATCACGTGTGTCAGTCTTGTCGCTAACGACCATGTATAGTTCCCAGCCTGTGACCACTAAGCGAGGCGTACTACGCCCGCTTTACCCATATACATAGTCATGGACGACGAGGACTATGACATGGGGGAAGACACCATCGTTACTTCGACGGAGCCTAATGGTGATCATGTACCAGATACCGTAGACCCGTCCGAGCTTTTTCACAACATCAGAGGACCGCAATTGTCCAAGAGAGAGCAATTGCCCTTTCACAGTCCGTCAAAGAATACCTCATTCCTGCAACCTAGCACCATACAAAGCCAGCCCGGGTCGCATCAAACAACGAAGTCACCGAGTGGTTGGTCAGATAAAATGAGCATGTCGCGTCCCACTCCTGTTCGGCGCTCAAGTCCACAGGTTCGCATACCCCCAAAACCAAGATCGTCGCTTCTTCCGTACGCGACCAAGAAAACTGGCCTGGTTTATGATTCTCGTATGCGCTTCCACGCAGAGCTCCCTGATATGAATCTAATCGATGATATCCATCCCGAGGATCCGCGTCGCATTCACTCCATCTATGAAGAGCTCAGGGAAGCTGGTCTTGTGGAAACTGGCGATATGGATGGAGATCAAGAAGACAAGTGCTGGAGGATCATGACGCGCTTTGCTACGAGACCAGAGATTCTCCTTATACATACGGCAGAGCATTACGCATTCGTGGAGTCATTGCAGAGTGAGTTTACAACTGCATAAAAAGGTCATGGCTAATCTTCCTACTAGACATGACTGAAGAAGATTTGAAGCTTCAGGCTGACAGTCGTGACTCGATCTACTTCAACCATGCGACTTATGACTGCGCCAAGCTCGCGGCTGGTGGTGCTATCGAGGCCTGCAAAGCGGTCGTGCAAGGAACTGTGCGCAATGCAATCGCCATTATTCGTCCTCCCGGACATCATGCGGAGACCAATCAGCCTTCTGGATTCTGCATTTTCAACAACGTCCCCATAGCCACTCGCGTGTGTCAAAATGATTACCCAGAGACCTGCCGTAAGGTCTTGATCCTGGACTGGGATGTACATCACGGTAATGGCATTCAGCACGCCTTTTACGACGATCCGAACGTACTCTACATATCTCTGCATGTCTACAAAGACGGAAACTTCTATCCCAACCTGAAGGATGGCAATCTCGACTATTGTGGTGAAGGTCTTGGTGAAGGAAAGAACGTGAACATTCCGTGGGCTGAACACGGCATGGGCGACTCAGAATATCTCTATGCTTTTCAAGAAATCGTCATGCCCATTGCTACTGAGTTCGATCCAGATCTTGTTATAGTCTCGGCTGGTTTCGATGCAGCCGAAGGGGATCTACTGGGCGGTTGTTTCGTCACTCCCGCGTGTTACGGTCACATGACGCACATGCTTATGCGACTCGCAAAAGGGAAGATCGTAGTGTGCCTTGAAGGCGGTTACAATCTGAGATCAATAGCGCGCTCAGCGCTAGCAGTAACGAGAGTACTCATGTTGGAGCCTCCAGATCGATTGAACGATGACCTCCCAGCTCCGAAGGATAGTGCAGTCTACGTTGTCGAGAACGTGAAACGCCAGCACTCCAAGTACTGGAAATCGCTCTACCCCAAACATCTGGACAAAACCGACCCCGGCTACAAAGACACATTTCGATTGCACGAGGTCATCCGCGAATGGCAGAGCCAACGACTGTCTTCAGAGCACTCGATGGTTCCCCTTCCTCCACTTCAAATCAACAAATCAGGGTTGGCGCAGACTTTCGAGCACAATGTTATCGCTACGTAAGTTCATCGGCCCTTTCGCCAATTACAGATACTGAAACACTACAGACCAAACTTCATGGAGCGACATCCTCTCCTCGTGATCTTCCACGACCCACCGGGCTTTCACGACCATTCCGATCCGGTAACTGGCAAGAGAGAGTTACACAACACATGGCTCGTGAGTACCGTTGCAGTCTGGCACTGTGTAATCGCTGACTTTGGATGAAGACTGATGTCACGAAGAGGTATATTGACTGGGCCATCAACAATGACTTCCAGGTCATTGATGTCAACATTCCGAAAGTCGTTACAGTAGAAGACGTGAGATTTTTATATGCTTATTTCGTGACAGCCTGCTAATGGCTCCAGTCAATCATCGGCTACATGAGATCCGAGGATTCCGCAGTTCGAGCACAACAAACACGCGAGCTCGCAGCGTATCTGTGGGAGAACTACATTGAGTAAGCTGCCTTGATCGTGCTTTCAACCAGTTGTTGACGTCACCATAGACCAAACGACGCGACCCAAGTGTTTTTCATGGGTATCGGCGATGCATATCTTGGACTCGTCGATCTACTCAGTCACAATGGTAAGCATGCCTCGAGTTTCGTGCAGATTGTGTGTGCAGTTCAGCTACTGATCAGACAGAAAACTGCACCGAACCTGATAGTCCGGTCGAATGCTTGATTGGATTTGTGGGAGAAACAACCATTCAGTCGATAAAACGAGCGACAGATGACACGATATCAAGTTGGTACTACTCAGTAAGTACGGTCGAAACTCGCACCGTGACGCCAGCTGATATCCGCAGCACTCCATGATCTTTGTGAAGAACAGTCACTTCGTTTGGAATCCAAGTCGTCAACGCAAGATGCGCAAGAAGCTTGGCAATCTTATCCAATCACCCAAGGATGGTCTAGACGACATGCTTGAGCAGCACTTGGAGGAGGTGCAAACTCTGCTTCTGGAAAAGAAGAGCGAGTTCGAAGAGATGAATGACTTGTCCAGCCGTACTGATGAAGGACCGCAGAACATGGCTGCCGGACTGCGAAGCCCACCCTTTCCAAGTGCGTCACAAACACCCAAACGTTTCGACCCTGCGACGAGACAAGAAGGTGCCGCGAATCTACTCAAGAGCCCTAAGATGCCACAGATGGGATTGTTCAGCGCGAAGAGTCCGGGTTCAAGGAGTCCCATGAAAAGGCCGCCTCCATGAGCTGCCTTGCGTTCGTCGCTGGATAGCGATATTTGTGGCATCAATCGTATTCATTGCATGGCCTGGCGTTTCTGCGATATGTCGGTATCCGCGCGCGCTTTGGCGTAATTAGCATCTCTTTTTGCCTGTACGATGGAAGCGATGTCTGATCTTTCATGTGTTGAGTACGCGCGTTGGATTTTTTGAACTGTAGATATCGATAATACCCATCTTCTAGAGGCGGGCTGCGCCTCGAAATCATACGTTCCGATAATAACCAGAATGATGAATGAAAGCCTTATTGATAGCTTCGCTGATGCGATGCAAAACCTCGGTACAAGCATCCGCTTCAGGATGTTCGGTACGCTTCGTTTGCAAAGCAGCTAATCATGACGCCAGCCGCTATGAGCCAAACCGAGTCCTACGCCTGGCATCCTCCCCACCATAGCAATTGCTCCGCACGCGCAGCGCATGGCCATCCTCAATCAGCATGCTGTGCTCAAGCCATACATGCGCCAAGTGGACCGTCCCGGGTTCCTGACCAGCACTAAGCTTACTCGAGGTTGGCGGCTCAAATGCTCGATGCTCATTCCTTGACGACAACTCAGCTGCGCTCCACTATCTGCCAGCTCGTGCACAAGCAAGATTTAGACGGCATGGCAGCTGCGAACAGCGCAAATCGTCAAGTAAACACCGGAAAATAGAGTTGCTACGCGGCCTTGGCCAACATAACACACTCCTCGCGATCAGGTTGAAAAGAGATTGTCAATAGTCGCGTACTGGGCGGCGCGGTCGAAGAAGAGGTGTCACGGAAATAGCCCAAGTACTCGTGGAGCAGCATCAGCGCTAGCTACCGTTACACATATTCGACCCCTCAACCGTCTTTCTTATTCCCTGCTGACTTGCTGATGGTCCGCCTCGCTGGCGAATGCACCAGCATCCAGCTGCCATGGCTGTACGCCTCAAGTGCGCCTGGACAAGGGCGCGCCTGCTAGATCAGCACCTTCGATTGTATTGATTGGTGAAAGGAGACGAACAAAGACTGCTTATGATGGTAGATACAGGAAGGTGGCCTATCGCCTGGTCCGCTATCCGCATCTGCGGCTGTGGGGGCTGAAAATAGCGGTATTGGGTTTTGGGCAAGATGAGCGATAGAGTGACTTAAGGTTGTCGGTCAGCTTGCTGGGTTGATCTCACTCTATTTCCTTCCTCAAGCCTTCTATTGCCCACTCTTAGCTAGCATTATATTGCTATTTTACCGATACCAAAGTCCTGGGTTAATTGGAGAGATCACGAGCTTTACGCGGATACTGGATCTTGCTATTGTACTTGCCTAATTTTCACACCATTATCGCGATGATAAGCTCATGGTCTGCAGGGCTAGCAGCAACACTCGCTGTTAGCCATATCCTCCCTCAATTCGCCGCCGCACAAGATTATGTTTCATCAGCCCTTCGGTCAGTATCGCCAACGCCCACAGCTTCGGAGTCAGTGGAGTCTTCAAGCGCAACACCAACGTCTTCGGGTGAGCCCACAGTCTATACCATCAAAGCTGGCTCCGGAGGCTTCAAGTTCGACCCACCAGAACTTCACAACGTCTCAGTCGGCGACATTGTGAAATGGGAGTTCTATCCACGGGATCATTCGGTTGCGAGGGCAGAGTTCGGATCAGCATGCGTGCCGTATGAGTACACTGGGAAAGACAAGGTTGGCTTCTGGTCGGAGACGCAGTGGGTGAACAACACAAACGAGGTTTGTCTCCAGGTGAGAAGACATGACGGATATACTAACAAGTCTTTAGCTCACATACTTCAACGTTACGATCAACTCGACAGAACCTATCTTCTTCTACTGCGCAGCACCGGACTCATGTTTGAAGCAGCACATGGTCGGCGTCATCAATCCGAATTCTACGCAAACCCTGGCATCGCAAGTTCATGCGGCGGCCGCAGCAGACTTTCAAGTAGCACCCGGTCAGCCAATTCCTGCTGAAGCAACATCAACGCTGTCCAACGCGCCCACCTCAACTGGGACCTCGACACCAAACAGCGGAGGCAATGATGGAGGCCACACCCTGTCGACCGGCGCCATAGTTGGCATAGCAGTTGGTGGCGTGGCCTTCTTAGCAATCTGCGCCGCTCTCTTCTTCTTTGTCGGTCGATCCAAGTCACTCAAGGAGGTCATCAAGCGACAAGACGCCACGAACAACCATGACCCAAACATGAGCCAACAGTACGGCGGCTCTAGCTACGGCCATGGAGGACTTGCATCGCCAGGGTTCCCGTCACCAGCTCCGGGTTACGCCACACCGCCGCTAGGACACCGTCCAGACTATGGTTTCAGCTCGCCACCGCAGTATGGCCAGCACAGTGTAGGGGAGCAATATCCGTCTGGCTGGTCGAGTCCTGGACTGCAACAAGGTCATATGAGTATGATGAGTAGTGCTAGTGGGATGTCGCAACAACAGTAAGTGTTACTTATTGGAGAGTAGATTTGGCTCGGACGTGCAAGCTAATTGTTGTGTTCAGGATGGACCAAATAAAATATGCGCAGATGAATACGCAACCTCTTGTAGCAGAACTGCACAGCCCACCGCTGGGACAGCAGTCCTTTTCGGCAGAATTGGAGGCACCTGGACTCGATAAGCCGAGAGGTTGAGTTGATGATGTAGTTATGAATTATGACTTTGTTCCTGTACGCGACGCTCATTGATACCATTTCAAATATAGTAGTGCATTTGCCCAAAAGAGACTCGTGCAGAAAGCGTGATAAAAGCATGAAATGATACAAGTAGAAGTAGTTCATGTTGTACACGCCGACCAGAGACTAGACCGGCCCCGGAACTCTCGGCAGTTGTAAGATCGGTCTGGCTGACAGTGAACCATTCAGCAATGAGCATATTCACGTACTGTATTTGCAATCGCCACACGATACACTTTTCGGCCCTTTTTTTCGTAAAACCCTGCCAAGCAGCTCAAATCCCGTCGAGTGATGTTGTAGCATTGTACAACGTGCTCCAGCGACCAACGGCTAGCGACACTGTGTTACCAGAGATTATTGCAGGCAGATAGCAGAGGGGCCGCGGATTAGCTAATATGAGGTTGAAAGTTGGACGAGTCACGGACAGGTGGGTACCCGGGCACGTCAGGTTAGGATGGTTGCTTCTCAACAGACCGCCTTGCGTATGACCCTTGGCAGCCGTCGAAGACATTGTGAGATATACGGTGAGTTTCCGTAGTTTTTGATGAAGATATACGACGGTCACGCTATATGCAGCCGGACTTGGATGACCCGATTACTGGTGCAGATTCGCAAGAGCAAAATTCGTGCAAACTACTCAAGTCTAAGCTAGTGTGAGCGGAAGCTAACGATGGGTCGTCATATTCTGGAAATTTATGATGAGAGGATCTTCCCTCCATGTGTAGGGTTTAGTTGCGATTCATTGGCGGCCAGCAGCTCCGCACTATAATGACGAGCATGTTGGCGTGCAGAGCCGACGCCCGTACACACAGTGGGCGCGGAAATGCGGTGAGAGTTACTAAGAGGTGAGGGGATAGGTAGAAGGAGCCACTGCGTGATGTGCAGTCTGTCAAGCGATGGGGGCAAGGTTTTGGGTACCGTAGCCTACTAAAATCCCCGGACGTCACACGTGGTGTGGGCGGCGCTGCTATCGTCTGAACGCCAAAGCCAAGGCCTTGCTCACAAGGAAGAGCGGCATCGCCCTACACAGTCCCGTCGATGAAGCCTCTTCCGCGCCCGTCCTCGATGGTTCCTTTCTTCCCCACGTTCCCGTCAAAACTCCCGTGAAACTACAGGTTTGAGAATGATGAGCACCTCGGTTGCCCGATATTGTCATCTTCCTCCACCCTAGGAACCGCTATCCGGCACAACGACATGATCACTTCCTCACCCACAATATCGCAACCGCCCTCGCCAAACACGACTTTCCACACGCCTAGCTGCCGCCCGTACCATGCCTCGAGACGCACATCAGCATCCTCCAGCGCCCCCTCGCCCCGCTTTGCCGTGACCACGGTAGCCTCACGGCGATTCGACGCGCCGCCCACTCCAAAGCCCACCTTCTCGGCGCCTTCACCAGTGCCCACGTTTGCGCCCTCCCCCCAGGGTCGCAAGAGAAGCTATCGCGATAGCGCAACTCAGTACTCGCCGTCAGGGTTTCCGCCCACCTATCGGCCCCAGCCCATCAACAACACCAGCATCGATATCGACATTGATAACACCGCCGCACTTGACCAGGACCAGGACCAGGACCAAGACCAGGACCAAGAAGAAGCCGGCTCGACATCTTCGAGTGCTCCTGCAATTGCGCCTGCACCGCGGGGGGATACCTCCGCCGCGCCTGTCGTCACGGAGCCACCCGAGCCCCAAGTGCGGGTTTCTCCGCAGCCTGTCACACCCGCCTACAATGTACAATCCCAGGGTCGCCGCATGTCGCACGAGAGCGCGCATTCGCAAGTAGAGCCCGATGTGGTGCCAAAAGAGACAAGCACTGTTCTGCAGGTCCCGGCCTCGCCGGCGAAGAGAGCTAGACCGCAGGAACCGGACGTCAAGGTCATGCCCCTCCAGTACGAGACGTGTGATGTGAAAGATCTCGGTGTGCTCATCTCCGACATGCTCATGGAGCTGGTGCGGCTGAATGACGGCTATCCGCTGCGGGACGGGACACTCACAAGATTCCATTCGAGGTGCGTTGGTCCAAGACTGCCTGAACCAGTACTCGCTGACGATGACCCTATAGAGCCCCACCTGGCATCTCAGTACGCGACTACCTCTCGCGCCTTATAGTGCATGCCACACTGTCTCCGCCAATTCTCCTCTCCATGGTCTTCTACGTCGACAAGCTATGCGCCATGTACCCCGCCTTTACCATCAGCAGCCTTACGGTGCATCGCTTCCTAATAACTGCTGCTACGGTCGCGGCCAAGGGCCTTAGTGATAGCTTCTGGACCAACAGCCTGTATGCAAGGGTCGGCGGCGTCAGTGTCCGTGAACTGGCGTTACTGGAGCTCGAGTTTCTGCGGAGGCTCGAATGGCGCATCGTTCCAAAGCCAGAAGTACTCGTGGACTATTACAAAGGTCTGGTCGATCGCGGGACTGGATACGTCATAGAGAAAGAGCCGGAATCAGGACCGACTGTCAGCTCAACCCAGGTGCCTAATCCCGCTGGATCTGCGACAGGAATACACACCAATCAATCAGGCATATAATGACGGAAGCACACAATCGTTGAGCAGCCTCATGCCACAGTCCGGAGCCAACTCACGAAACTCTTCCACATGCCGTTAGCGGCTCTACTCTTGGGGCTCGCGTCGTTATTAAGAGTTCGCGGAGACGACATTGTGGGCTATCTTATCTATTCCCAACACCAAGCTACACCGTGGCCGCCTTTGTGTGGAAGGCTCAAAGGACGACTAGCTAAATGATGATGAGCTGGCCAACCTGACTCGGCAGGGGAGTTATCTATCTTCCAGAAAGTCTCCGCCAACGAGGGGCCTCTTTGAGCTGCCGGAGGCACATCACTCCATCTCAGCCTCGTGCCATCAACGACCACAGTCATAGGCAGATATCCAGTATGCCCCCCCATCACGGTTCGTTCGCTGCGGCTCACATGACAGCTGCCAACTGCGGTTCCAAAGTGACGGGGCAGTTTGTATTGAAGCAGGACATAGCGTTTGTGTGATTGCTTGTCCGATAAACGATCGAGCGTAGAATGCATGAGACGGGTGTAGGAGTTGAGCAGCAATTCTATTATTTTGGTAGTACCAGTAGAATCAAATATTCAGATTCCCATCAAAATGCGTGGTGCTGTCCCGTGAAGAGCATTTTGGCGAGTGCATCACGGTTAAGCCGCTAAGAGCATGCATCGTGAGTAACGTGGACGAGTAAAATGCGGCTACTGGCATACCCCAGTCGTAAGACGCACGGCTGCCGAAAGAGTGAGGCTAACACTCCACCTCTATGGCGTATCCCTAGATACTATCGAGCACCATTGCTGTGATGACGGAGGCTTTTGCAAATGCCACGGCGCAAGGAGAGCCGAAGTATGGTATGCGCGACCTCTGTCAACAATGTCGGCTTAGTGACCCTGACCCAATAGTTGACATGATCTGAAACCATCTGTCCCTCAATCCCCACCCCCACTACACACTCCACGCGTCTGCCTTTACGAGATCACATCAGAGAGGTCGTGTGCCGGCGCTTACCCCGAGAACCTCGCGATCCAGACGTGATCTTCCCTCCGACCCGCGGTAGACGCGTCTTGCTCTCGAGACGGCGGCAGTAGCGCGACTATAGTACTATGAGAGTGAGTGCGTATATGTCACGAGAGCCTACGGGCACAAGCGACGGCTCTGTGCTTCTCCCCAGCTTTGGCTTCACGTCCGAGTCTTGTCTGAAACCATCGCACGTGCTCACGTTGCCCGTCGATAGTTCCGCCATGCTGCTTGATCATCTTACAATCGACAATCCACTGACTTGCACCAGAGTTCCAGGTAATCCTCCAACAAAGAGTGCTATGCGTAAGAGATGAACTCGGAATTCGCCCGCTGGGATGGTAGCAAACACCAGTACGACAGTCCATGGGGCGCGTCTCGCCCTGAAGCACCTCCAGCGCCGTGTGCCCTACCGTATGCCTTCGCCGAGCCTTTCCCACAACTCACGACCGGATTCCAGCAATTGCAGGTGGGAAAACATTCGAGAACGCGTACAACGCCCGTAGTCACTCGCACACACATAACTAGACATGGCTCGGAGCCAAACCCCATGCGACCGTTGTCTAGCGGAGGAGAAGCCCGCATGGCCCCTTACCAGAGCCTCTCTCCGCCTCATCGATCCGCATCGTATTCACAACCGACCCCTCTCGAAGACTTTCGCAAGTCAAGACGATGGCCACCCAAAGGATACAGATCGGAGGATGCGCTAGAGCCCGAGCAGGCGGATGAATTGATATGTGCTGGAGCGTCATCGTTCAAGGGGTATTGCGATGCGATAGCGAACGCACCAGCGGGCTACGATCGCTACTATGCGGTCATGGAGGCTGAGCATCAGAGTCGAACGGACCGCGCATCTTTCCAGCACGAGGCATACAGGGACATTTCGCTCAACATGACAGGTGCATCTGATAGCCAGTTTCCATGGCTGGCTCATGAGTACCCTTGTATGGCGTATGCGTTTGGGAAGAGTGCAGGGACTACAACACTCAACTATTGGGTCAGCAAGTGCGGAAGCAGTAATCCTCCTATGCAATTTGCCAGCGAGGTAAAGCCGCGGAAGATAAAGCTCCTCCAGATTTTGGACCGGTTACAGAACCTAGAGAGTGGCCTCGATGAAGATGTCAGTCCACAATTGTGCCCGGGGTGCTTTTGGTTCACATGGCCCTAACTTGTGGTTTCGCAGGATCCTGAGGAATTGTACCGCTACCTATACGGCACGCTCATCGAAGATTCGGAGCAATTTGACGAGGAACGCCGTCACGTTCGGATTGACCAGCAGATTACAGATTTAATTACCGTGTTGAGCAATCCCAAATGGATAGATTTCTCGCACCCAAAGAATCAGGTTGTAGCCAAGTTCTTTGATGCTCCCGATCAGCGCAAGAAGCAGGAGTTCTTTCACCAACTGCTACTCTCGGTGGAGCTCTACCTTCGGATACACTCTAAGCACCATTCGGAAAAGTCTAAGCGAAAGCTCATTCTGCAGCTTCCAGCCATCATTACCTGGGACCTGGCGGTGGCCCAGCGGTGGCTCGAAAACATGGAGATTACAAAGACGCGGATATCATCCACCCAGAGCACTTTCAGCTTCGATCTGAGGAGCAAAAGCAGACAGATTGAAGCATTGAGAACTTTTGCGGCGACGCTAAAGTGGCCAAACATGGATGAGGTCGAGTATGTCCTGGACGAACAGGACTTGAACGAGAAAGCGCTCGAGGATCGGTCCGCAGACGCCATGTCGTGGTTTTCAGGCATTATCCTGCCAGGCCGGACACTGCCCTGGCTTATCATGAACAGCTTAATAGACTGTGACAGGGATACTGGCGATACTCTCAAGTATCTGACCCATATGCATCCAGCGTCCGGTTTCCAATATCGAGCAAACACGTACTGGTCATCGCAGTCTATCGTTGGCAAGGTACTAGGCGCTGCGCGAGGAGTCAAACAGATTGCAGGTTGGATTGGACCATGCATTTACACTCCCGATCTCAAGCGGACGGAGTGTGTGAAGGTGAGACAACAAGAGTCCCCGGATCCTATGCTCGCCTCAATCGATGTAGAGTCTATGGATCAACGCACCAACCCCTTGGGCGCGCCAGACGACAGCTATCCCGTGGACGACTACGAAGTTCCTATGCCGGATACGGAAGACGTGACAGATCTCATACGGATGGAGAAGCTTCGCTTTATGCCTGTTAAAGAGCGATCAGAAGGGACCAGGCATACTGCTGGTCCTCCAATGGTCTTCGATGCCGCTATTTCGTTCGCGTGTGGTGGCGAGAGCTGGCCAATGAAGCTACGGTACAACGTCGACTTCATCAACGCCTTTCCTTGCCACCAAGGTCCTCATGGTACGCATCGAGCTCGCAGTGAACGATTGAATATATGCTAACCAGCCTCAGTACTATTCTACGATTTCAGCTACAAAGCCATCAAGATCGACGAAGGCCTCGTCGACATCCAAGACTGGGGCCACCAATCCGGTCGCACGCCCCGCCCCACCTCCTCCAAATCCTCACCTGGCAAGAAGGCTCTGGCGCTAATGAACGAGAAACAGAAGAGTGCTCACGAACAAGTTACGAATGTGCTTGTTATAGAGGCTCTGGGTGTTAGCGATAATGAGGTTTTCGCAAGAGCGTGGTGTGCACACCATGGACACAGCGCTATCGTCGCGAACATCAAGGAGACGTGTATGTCCTGTGCCATTCGTGAGGCGTATGCGGCGTGTGTGGCGGTCGTTATACTGACGGAGGGAGGTGTGGTGAAGGAGAATGACACTGAGGTTTATGGGTATGCGTGAAGAGTCGGAAGGGCCATTTGTGGTATGCATTTGCATCTTTCTGGGTCTGCTTCGGCGTCCCTTTGTATTGATGAACACGATTTTCCTTTGTCTTGGGTCTGGAGGGTGGCATGGGGAAGGGGCTCCGGGATGTGCTTCACGACTGTAACGGTACTCATGGGGCGCTAGTTTATGGTTACATATCATGTCTTATGAATTACATGCATTTACACTGTACGAAGAGTATGTCAGAAGAGTTCGCATGGGTGCATCTGGTGAAGGGGCAATCACGTGGTGATAATCGTTATCGCGGCTGCTCTGACGTTGCGCCAACGGAATCGAGCGCGGATATATGCATTGTCAATCTTCGCTCGCGACCACTCTACGAAGCATGACTGACTTTGCAAACTTCCCACCCCGGATGATAACTGCTTGAATACCGCAGCCTAAATGCCGCATTCACAGTGATACAAACTGCTGTTGCGCCTTCCTCCAACGATACTTCCAACTCTCCAACCCGTAGTTTCCCAGTGAAGCTTCCATTGCGCCGCCCGTCATTGCCACACACTTGTGCGCCCAGCACTGAACCTCTTCGCATGAGGCTGCACGACGACCGTTAATCTGCGCCAGCCGGTTGTAGCACACACCCATTACCAATTACCCGCTTGTTTTCCGTCTACGCCATGGGCCGGTCAACGATACCTCCGGCGCTCAACGAGCTCTCAAATCCTAGTACACCCGAAGCACAGGTCACAGCGCTTCAGAATCTCAAAAATGAGATAGTCGGGCATGAGCAGAGGAAAGAACTGGCAGTGACACATGGTGTTGTGAAACCACTGGCGGGTCTATTACGGGCGGAGGCTAGGAAGGGCGGGAAGAGAAGGAGGAACGTCACAAATGGACACGCCTCTGGGCTTTTCAACGAGTCGAGGAAGGGTATGGAGGGATGGACTACTGAGGATGAGTTGAGGTTTCAGGCCACGCTCGTCGTTGGCAGCCTCGCGAATGGTGAGTGCCCAATGCGAAAGCATACTGTGAGGGAGCATGTTGGCTGATATATGAGACATACAGGCGGACCAACATTTGTTGCCCCGCTTCTAGCAGGTCATGTACTCCCTCCGCTTCTTGAAGCGCTGCGACCCAGCGAGACGCCCTCGAAACTCGTAACCACGACTCTCAAGACCCTTAACCAGGTTGTCGACGCCGTCCACCAGGAGAAGCCTTGGCTCGACGTGTCCGACTCATCCTCACGGTCATCTCTCGCTTTCGCTGTCAACGAGTCCATATATACCAGATCTGTCATTGACAGCCTTGCTGAGATACTCGCGCAACCGGCAGGGACGATGAAGGCCAATCAGCAGATTGAGTCGACTATCCGGCTCATCATGAAGACATGTGTAGAGGACAATCAGAAGAAGATGCTGGTAGATGCAGGAATACTGGATCTTCTCGCTGACAAGCTCGCTGCTGTCGCTGCCTTAGACGATCGGATCCCCGCAACAGAGTGGAAGCAGTCGAATCGCGAGCAGCTTCCCCGTACCTGCTTGCCAGACATTCTGGAGGCTGTCTCGGCCATTATCAAGGACTCGCACTTCTATACCGCTCGTTTCCTCTACTCGCACTCAGTACAGCAGCTCTTCGGGTGGCCAAAGGAGCGCACAGCAGCATTGGACGGAAGCAACACATCACAAGCAGCATCATGGGACAAGCTAATCCCGCGAGTGCAGACAATGGCAAGCAAATCAGATCCGTACATCAAGCAATGGCCGGCTCTTGGTGCCTACGCCTCTATCACTGGAGATAGCTATTCCCGTTTACCGAGCATGGAGTCGCTGCAACAAACCTCAAGTAGAAGTGTCATCACTGACGAGTTTGAGTCACCGCTATTCATATGGCTCATGTACGTGGCCCGTCGAGGCGAAGGTCGAGAACGTCTTTCTGCTTGTTGGCTACTAGCGTTGCTGAAGAAATTTGGCGAACGATGGCCTCTCAATGACCCTTCCAAGACAACAAGGGAAAGGCACTTCTCGTATCTGATTATCCCGTTGGTCGAAAAGATGATTGAGGACTCCAGTCCGACATCAGAGCAAACCAAGAGGGCGAATACCCTAAGTCCTGCAGCAAGAGACGAATTGCGCTTTGTGTTGGAACGCTCACCAGTTGTGCTTGCTGAGCTCGTTGCTGGGAACAAGTCTCTTCAGACAGCGGCTGTTCATGCTCGGACCCTACCGACGCTTATTCAGATTCTCAAGAAGTCGTTTGACGTACCTGCCACATCCTCAAAGCCTCTATGGCAACCACGGTCTTCATCTAGCGAAGTAAAAGACCCAAGTATTGACCCCGCATCATCGACACTAGGTAGATCTGGACTTAGTGCGGACTTGTTGCATGCGTTCAGGTACCGAGAGAGCGTTCTCCTGGCTCTGGCGGCAATAGCAGGAGATCAAGATTCGTTGAGGAAGATGGTCATTGAAATGGGCGCCGCAACGCACATCATTGAAGCTCTGGTTCCATATCGCGAAAACAACGAGCAAGGGATATCCTCTTCAGCAAAGGATGGCAACCCTGATTCAGTACTGATTGCTGCCTGCAAAGTTACGCGATCACTCTCAAGGTCCGTCAGTGTGCTCAGGACTAGCTTGATCGATCACGGTGTCGCCCAGCCGGTTTTCGAGCTTTTGACACATCCCAACGTCAAGGTACAGATTGCTGCTACCGAGGTGATCACCAATCTGGTGCTTGATGTGTCACCAATGCGAACTGTAAGTACGATGTTGATTGCTTTGTGCTCTCAAGCTAATGTGGCTACTAGGAGATCCTCGAATCCGGGGTATTGAGAACGTTGTGTGAGCAATGTCGATCAGCAAACTTTGACCTTCGTTTCGGCAGCCTTTGGGCGCTCAAGCACTTATGCCTAGGGTTACCGCATGCTATGAAGATACAATGTCTCGAAGAGCTTGGTGTAGGCTGGCTGGTACAGGTACTCAATGGGGAGCCATCTAAGCCAGCCATGGGAACACCCAACGCAGCAGGGGAACAAGTCGATATCCTCAACGCCGTTGACGAGCCTCATATGGACGTGGATGACGATCCATCATCATCTGATGACGATGACGATGATGTCATGACCGAGAGCATAACATCTATGCGACGACACCAACGTCCTGGATCTCGATACACAAGTGCAACGAACATCCGAGATCGGTTACAGCAAATTAAGAATGATGAACAGGACCATCGGCTCAACGGTGAGCGTGACGACATACGTATACAAGAACAAGCGCTTGACTTCATCCGTAACTTCGTCTCTGAAGACAAAGCCTCCGGTGAGATGATCGATCATCTCCTCAAGACGTTTGGCCACAGCCGGTTCTTTGAAATCCTCGATGCTAAGATCCGACCAAAGAACTCTTCCTTATTCGCGTCATCATCGCAAACCCAGGCCAGTCCTAGTGCTCCCAGCTACTGGCCAAACAGCAGCCACCGTACACCCTTTTCTCCTTCCACGAATAACCCAGGGCAGACGAACTGGGCTACCTACCCTGCCACTGAACTCATTCTTGCTACAGTATATATCCTCGTACACCTTGCCAATGGTCGACCTCAACACCGCTCCCTCCTCATCTCACAGACTACGCTCATGCAACATGTTCTTCCTCTCTTCACACATCCTCGTCGCGATGTCCGTGTAGCTTGTTCATGGATGTTGCACAACCTCGTCTGGGTAGAAGATCATACCGACGAAGCTGCGACACGTGAACGCGCTATCAGTCTCCGCCAATTGGGTTTCGAGGAAGGCGCCAAGCAGCTGGGACGTGACGTGGACACCGATGTCAAGCAACGTGCTATTGTAAGTATTGAGCAATTTGACAAGTTGCTCAACGGTGGTAATAGTCATGTACGGGGTAGTGGCTTCGGCAGCCCCGGCGGATTCGGTAGTGGAGAGGGTGGTGTTAGTGGACTTGCAGGTATGGGTGGGCGCTTGTCAGCAATGCATGGTTGGAGACATGATTCTAGGGGTTGATTGATTAGTAAGAGTATGGTATGGTGGGGAGTATATGGTGGGTAATTCTTCTGGTACATTTTGGGCGTATGTTTATTCGGCCTTGGCCTATGTGTTATTTGTATGATTGGGATCGAGGAAACAAGGATATGGCATTACTTGTATGGAGAGAAATAACGACTATATGCATACCTCCACAACACCGGATTAGCAAGCAGACCAGAAGTGTATACCGATGTTGAACTTGCCACCCTCCTCATACTCGGACCCTACTACTGCTCCTTCAGCCTCTGTCCCCTCCAACGCCTGTTGAGCCGCCTTGATCAGCCCACCCACGAACGACTGTGTATCTGCCCTTTCCTCTGGCAGCTGAGCATATGCCTGATCGGCCGTGCTTGTCATCATCCACGCCATAGCCGCCTTACAGTCCCCACTCGTCACTTCCCCCGGGTCTTCTCCTCGCTCACGTCTAGCCTGCACGGCTGCGACCAGATACCCCATCGCGACCGGGTATCTACCCACGCCATGGCCACTCATTTTGCGTACTTCACGGGCGAATGGCCTCGGTGTACCTCTGCACTTTCTTATATCCACCAGAAGCCGAAATGCCGGGCCCTTGCTGGTGACCCTCGAGGGTGGCTTCGATGCGGTAAGCTACGCCAGAGTGAAGATATTTGTAGTCCAGGCGGACTTTCTCCTTGCGCTCAGAGTGCCATACAACGATGTTGTAAAGAGGACCGATCCTGTCATAGAGAGCTCCGCGGAGCACGGCGTAGATATCGTTACCATCCTTTCTAGTAGAGGCCATGGTGGCATAGTGGATGCCGGTATGAAGACGCATGGTGATGGTCTTGCTCACGCTGGTGACAAGGGGGTATTGGTACTCTATTGCGATGATGGTAATGTAGTAAAGTAGTTTGGTATTGATGGTACAAGAAGGAAAGTTGTAAGTAGTAGTTTATGTATACATGGTGTGTGCCAACAACCCTGGATCAGCTTCACCTCGAACGTATACTTCGCCCCTCACCTAGACGGCCACATAGAATGGGAATCAACAGCATTGTATGCATCACAGTAGGCTTTACAGGATTCAAAATCAAAAGGCTACCCTCAAGTCAGCTTCACCTTCACTTACGATTGGACGACTATTTTGTTAAGACAGTATTTACGTAGGCAAAACAAAAAACAAAAAACAAAAAAAAACAAAAAACTATGCGCGTGGAATAAGATAGTTGGACGCACTGTGCTCATTTCTTCTTTGAATCGAGCCGTAGTGTTCCCAGTATCTTTTGCTCGAGCCTGCTTGGTCTGCGGAGCACTGCTACATGGCTGACGAGACTCAGACTGGTGGTCTTTCTCAACTGCTTGGTTTTCCACTGTTCTTCAGTTGTTTTCCTCGCAGGCGGGATAATACTTGGTCTTTTGTCTCCAATCTGTCCCACTCTCAAATAAGATTACTCTTTAGATCCTATCTTCTATCTAGTGACATTACTTTGTTGTATTCTTCAATACTTGATTGGCGGCCCCATCGCATGCACAGAAGTGGCTGAGGCTTTACATGCTCTACTACAACCACCCCAGTCTAAGATGCAAATCGAGAAAAACGCTTTCGAGCCCTCGCTCAGCCTCTTGCCCTAGCCTTTAACCTCAGGGTCCCACTATCCTCTTCTCCATTATCTTTCATCAATTGTGTCTCAATCATCCTCCCAATATTCCCTCCGCCCTGCATGACACCCCCTCTCAGCAACTCCGTAATGACACGCCCTCTAATCACCGTCTCTTCAACCACACCCTCGACATTCTCAGGCCCTACACGCCCGTACCAGATGCCCGAACCTTTCAGTGCGTTACCTTCCATACTAGGAGGCAGATACATAATGACGTTTCCAGCGTACTTGTGGCCGCCGATATGACTTATCAGGCCTACATCAGCATCGATGTTCCTACGCTGGAACTCGGACTGAAACGAGGATTTCAACAAGGGCCCGAGGATGCCGCAGCGTTGGTCGCGGCCGCCGTGTCCGCAGATTAAGATCGTGGGTTTGGTGATGTTTTCCACCTTTGGTAGTTCTGTTGCTTTCGACTCGTCGCGAAGGAGGTTGGCCTTTTGCTCAGCGCTAAGACCATCATGCATGGAATGTAGCTTCCGGGCTTTCAAGTATGCGGTTGCAAAGTTTGAAAAGGCCTCAGGCGTATGTGGGATGTTTGGTATGCGTTTAAAACTGGGAAACAATAGAGCCGTTGTTGCGCCAGCCTTTTCACTCTTCTGCAACGAGGAAGCCGTGATGAGGACATTGGTAAATGGCTATGTAACGTAAGAAACGGGTCAGCTTTCCATATCTCAGAAGATGACTTTGGTGGGAAACAGACCTACATCAAACCCAGGACCGCCCTTCCCAATTACACCTTTGAGGCCTCTCACAAACTCTCCAGTTTCACCCTCTTCCTGCTCGATGTTGCTGACCCAGTCTCCTTTCCCCGTACAAAGTATGACCTGTTCAGAGTATGCCGCCATGGTATTCAGCAATGGCGTCTTGCGATCGATGTCTAGATCTGGAGGCGTTGCCGCGCATTCGCAGGTTGGTGACGGGCATGACGAGGTATAGGGTATCGCAGATTGAAAGCGCGCAGGGGTCGTAGAGTAGAAACGAAAGGCGCGCGGTATAGTAGCCCGAGAAAATCGAGTGAAAGACATGGCTGCCATGTTTCAATGCAAGATGGGGCAACAGGGAAATTGTCTGAAAGGATCGGAAAGCGTTCCGCGATGATGACGCGAGGACGCGAGGACGGACATAACGGAGTTCGGGGCTCGGAGAAGCAAGCTGCGCCCTAGGCGTATTAGATTGCCCGCGTCGACATGAACAAATTAAAGGTATAACAATGCACGTTGAAGAATACAAAGCTCAAAACTGGTGCGCAAATGTCTTCTATTATCTTATCGAGACATATGTCGTCATTCTTACTACACGACACCACCATCTTCTCACTGAGTGTGTCAACCCTTCAATTTAACCTCCAGCAACTTGTCTCCTAGCTATCTTTCGGACTTCTCACAAAGTGCTCTCGAGCGCAAGCACCTATCAGCCGGGTTAGCAAGCAGTTACAAATGCAGTCACTTGGAAATAGACTTACGATAGCAGTCCTGCTAGGAATGTACACCTGCAAGAAGTTCTTCCTCTCGTTCCACGCAAATGGCGTGGTGAAGAACCTCGTAGTCTCGTCAACGTTGCCATGTCCACCAAAAGCCTTGTTGTCGGTACTCAGAACAATACGATAGGTACCTTCCTGCTCAACACCAACACGGTAATCAGTGAAGCTCTCCTGAGGATGGAAGTTAAAGATCCACAGCAGTCCAGCACGCTCAAATACAATGACCTTGTCGCCCTCGTGTTTAAGACTGACGTAGGCTTGAGGCGAATGGAGCCATCCGTACTTCTCCTCTGTCCATTGCATCTTGCTGTCGAATTCGTTGAGAAACCTGTAGCGGAGGAGCTCGTCATCTGGAAGGTTGAACTGGCGGCGGGCGTAGTGGAAGCTGTTGTTGTTGCCTTCACGGGGGAAGTCGAGCCATTCAGGGTGGCCGAACTCGTTGCCTTCGAAGTTCAGGTAGCCCTCACCTCCCAGACCATGTGTGATCAGACGGATCAGCTTATGCAGGGACAAGCCTCGGTTGATGACGGGGGTCAGCTCCGAAAGAACCGACATGTTGGTGTACATTTGCGCGTCGCAAAGCCAGAAGAGCAGAGTCTTGTCTCCAACCAACCTGTGTAGTGTTAGTACTGATTATCAGACCCTAGATATCCACATACGCTTGGTCATGGCTCTCTGCATAGGCAATGGTCTTCTCGCCGTGCCTTCGGTTTGTCAAAGTGAAGACAAGAGCACCCATGTCCCAGTCAATATCCTGCTTCTCCTTCAACCACTTGATGTAGAGATCGGGTACAGCCATGGCCAATCTGTAGTCGAACCCTATTCCACCTAACGAGAGTGCTACGCAAAGACCAGGCATACCGGAAACGTCTTCCGCGATGGTGATGGAGTCGGGGTAGAGCTTGTGCAGTAGCTCGTTAGCGATCATAAGGTAGACTACTGCCTCCTCGTCGACCGAAGGACCGAAGTATTCGTGGTAACCGCCCGAGAAGCCCCTAATAGTGTTAACATTTGATACGAGGAGAGATAGTTGAGCACTCACGTTCCAATGCCGTGGTGGGTGTACAGCATGCTGGTGACTCCGTCGAAGCGGAAACCGTCGAAGTGGTACTCCTCCATCCAGAAGCGCAGGTTGCTGAGCAAGAAGCGCAGAACCTCGTGGTGACCGTAGTTGAACAGTCGGCTGTCCCACAGCTCGTGTCGTCCCTTGGCGCCCTCGTGGAAGTACAAATGGTCGCTGCCGTCGAACATGTTGAGACCGTCAAGCACGTTCTTAGATGCGTGGCTGTGTACCATGTCCAACAAGACGGTAATGCCCATTCCGTGCGCAGTGTCAATAAGCTCCTTCAGATCGTCTGGGAAGCCATAGCGGCTGCTTGCAGCGAAGAAGCTGTTGATCTGATATCCGAAACTCGCGTAGTACGCATGCTCCATAACGGCCATCAACTGTATAGTGTTGTATCCCAGGTGCTTGATGCGAGGTAGGATATTACGGGTGAACTCCTTGTAGGTCGCTACCTTGGGCTCGGGGGAGGAAATGCCAACGTGGGCTTCGTAGATGCGTGCGCTCTGGGGCTTGGGCGGCCGCTGGTTCTTCCAGACGTACTTCTGGGGAGGGTTCCAGAAGCGGGCATCGTATACGGGGGAGACGTTGAGGTCTTGGGTCACTCGGGTGATCCAGGCTGGGAGGCGTTCCTGGCGCGCATGGTCGTTGGGAACGACGAATGATACCTTGATCTTAGAGTCGTGGGGAATAGTAGGCTGACCGTTCTTGCCAGGCACCGTCACCTCGAAGACACCAAAGTCATTCTTGGTCATGGGCGTCGCATCGCGGTTCCAGTCGTTGAAGTCACCGATGAGGTAGGCGCGTAGGGCATTCGGGGCCCATTCGCGGTACACTACGTCGCCATTGGGCTGGACATTGAAGCCGAACTTCTCGTAACCCTGAGCGCTGTTAGCCACGCTGCTCTCGTCAAGGCATAGAGGAAGCTTGCCCGCGAGAACTTCTCCAAGCCGCCCTCGGTCTCTTCAATGGTCTGGATCCACTTCTGCGCTTTGGAAAAGCGGCTCTTGAGCGCGTCCTTGAAGGGCTCAAGGTAGCCATCCATCTGGATGATGCCTATGGGCAATTGGTCAGTCAAGGGATAGCAGCAATGGGGGCAGCAGGACGTACCAGTTCCATCATTTGGGACCTGCCCAGGTGTGTCGCTCAGGGTCGAGTTTGCTGAAGCCTTGTTGAGCTCCATGGTGTGGAATGGTAGCAGAGAGTAGGGATGAAGTTTGCTACCAGAGGATATGGTAGCGGTCAGATGCAGGTTTCACAGAGACAGCCTGCCAGATGAATTGCAGAGATGATCTCGAATTTGCGGGGTCCCTAACCCGATTGCTGAGCGCAGTGCTCAACCAAAAGTTCGTTGCCAACCCAACAATCAACGTCATAGCTCCGAGCACGCTGTAACGGGCATCGCGCCCACGCCACTTGTCCCAACAGCGGCATGTACGCTACGACTGGGGTGCGTGTCGGGAGGATTTGCGCTACAATTCATCGGATCTGCATCCGAATGTTGAGTGCGATGAGAGTAGACCCTGAAGGGCATCGCATGGTTTTGTAGGCTACCTTTGGGTAGTAGTAGCACCAGCGCGCGCGCGGTCGGCGGCAACGAGTCCCTTATCGGCATCGGAGCCATGGGGAGCTTCCCCCGCATCTTTGGCTCCAACGTGGGGAGCTCGCGGCGGCTCAACCACGGTTACTTCCAAGCCTCGAGCACAGCCGGCGCCATTGTGAGTTTATTAAAGCCCTCGTGATGCCCTCGATGCCCTCGATGCCCTCGATGCCCTCGATGCTCTCGATGCCCTCGATGCTCTCGATGCCCTCGTAAGTTTTGTAGTGTGAATCCCTCTGCGCTCCTCTTCCGCCATGATCCTGCCCAGGACCATCCAGAGGGCCCTCCCCGTTGCCGTCTCGTCCCAGGCCCGCGCGTCCTACCTCGCCCTCTATAGCATCTCGCGCCGCGCACCCTTGTCGCAGTCGCACACGCGCAAATCCTCCAGGTTCAACCGCTCCGACTTCAGCGGCCAGGGCTTCTCCTCCTTCTATGAGCCTGATCAGCCGACCCGGGGCCCGCTGGGCAACACCAGTAATGTAGGCGCTGGCCTCATCACGCCCAAGGTGCTGAGACAACATCTGGACCAGTTCGTCGTGGACCAGGACCGCGCAAAGATAGTCTTGAGCGTAGCCATCCACGAGCACCATCTCCGCATACAGGAGATCAAAAGGCAACACCATGAACAGGCTCGACTCGAGGCGCAGGCGCAGAGGAGAGCATCCGTATACAGACATCCTGTAGAAGGTAGCCCCAAATCTCATTTTGACCCAACCATTGATGATTTCACCAGTCATCCCCCGACCTTGCCGTGGCTGAGTAACAGAGCAGACGAGTTCCCGGGCCAGCAGTCCACCGTAGAACTGCATAGTCACAGTGACCCACTACCCTACAGCGAAGCACCTGCCCACAAACCAGCCTCGTCCACGTCCACAGATTCTGATGCCTTGCTCGACACCAGCGAGCACCAGCTGCAGATTGAAAAGTCTAATGTGCTCATACTCGGACCAACTGGTGTAGGAAAGACATTGATGTGCAAGACACTGGCAAAGACGCTGGGCCTGCCCATCTCCATGTCGGATTGCACTACCTTTACACAGGCTGGATATATTGGCGACGATGTGGAATCTTGTGTAGCCCGGCTGTTCTCCGCCGCCAACTATGACATCGACGCAACTGAACATGGCATCATCGTTCTGGATGAAATCGACAAGATCGCAGGGTCCAAGATGTCTTACGGCAAGGATGTTGGTGGTGAAGGTGTCCAGCAGGCCCTCCTCAAGATCATCGAGGGCACAACCGTACAAGTGCAGGCCAAGCCAGAAAAGAGCGCAAACAGGCCCAGTGGAATGCCTAGTGGTCCTCAACCCCCTGGGCCAGGCGGAAACAAAGGCGAAGTCTTCAACATTCGAACTGACAACATCCTCTTCATATGCACAGGCGCCTTCTCAAACCTACACAAGATCGTCTTGGACAGGAAGTCAAAGGGTAGTATGGGCTTTGGAGCGTCAATACGGACATCGAATGCGCATGCCGCTGCCGACGGTGTTATGCTCACAGGCGCTGAGGCAGAGTCCTTCAAGAAAGACTCGCCATTCTTCGTACCACCAAAGAACGACGTCCCTAATCCCTTTGGCGTCAGGCAGGTTCAACGACAGGAAAAGGTCAACGTACTCGACCATGTGCAGCCCGCAGATCTGCAGAAGTTTGGCATGATACCTGAACTCATAGGTAGAATACCTACAGTCTGCGCAGTGGCAGCCCTGGACGAAGAAGCTCTGGTCCGCGTTCTCACTGAACCCAAAGACAGTCTAATACGACAGGAAGAGCACAAGTCATATCTCAGAAACATCGAGTTGCGCTTTACAAACGGCGCGCTTCGTGAAATCGCACGCAAAGCGAGTAGGATGGGTACAGGCGCCCGCGGGTTGCGACACGTTGTCGACCAGCTGCTCTTGCAAGCCAAATATGAGACACCCGGTAAGTCACCTCCTCGCTTCTACAATAAATACAGATGACTAACGAAACCAGGCTCAAGCGTTAAACACATCCTCGTAACACAAGACGTAGCCCTCCTCAAACGCGCACCCCTGTACTTCCACCGCGGCCAATCCGCTGCCTTTGAAGCAGCCCACGCGCAAGAAGAAGAGCGATGGGAGGAAGAGCTCCGCAGCCAAGAAGATCCAACAATCGCCAGCGGCACCAGCAACTTTCAAGAATACAGGAAAGCTAGTGCTGCAGGCTTTTAGCCTACAAATGACCCACGGACCGCGCCACCAACCTACGGAAGCACCGCAGAATTTCGCGGAAGAACATGAGGGGGGTGTGCAGGCCTACTTTTCAGCCTGCTTGCGGTGGCCAGTGGGCGAGGGGGCGTGCCGTGCAAACTCGGATATATAAGTCCCGGCTTATACGCAAGCAAGCGCGGCCTCGGGCCGTTGCAGCTCTTCCGAGTGTGCATACCGGTCCCCTAGATCATGTCAGGACCTGGGTGCGATAGTACTCACTATCAATTCTGTCCGTTCCTAGTGCCGTGAAGGGTCACCACGACCCTGAACAAACGATTCACTTTCTTCTACTACGCAGAATGCTGCACAGGCCTGCCGCATTCCTGTTCTGCCCTTTTTTTTTTCATTAACTATATCTCGGGAGTCAGTCTGGTGTTTGGGAGTCTTTGCCTACGGTTTCGGTTTCGGCTCGTTCGGCTATTTGGGAAGGATTCGGATGAATTGAATGAATGTATGTTGGTTACACTACATATAGTTTTCCGTACGACAATGAAATAATGATCTGACTTTCGATGAGATTCTGCGCTGTAAATTACAAGAGCGCGATCATTCTGACTTGCATAAAACGCCACCTATTTCGAACAAAGGTTGTTTGGACGTCCATCCTTCCCATTCCATCCGTCCGTCCGAACATTGAATGGAAGGGGGGTAGGTAGGTCTAGGTCGCGGCATGCCTTGTTGCTATCGATGATCGGGAAACTTGGGGAGCTGTAATCTACCGTCATGATCGGGTACCTGCGGCGTCTGGGTCGTGGGCCCTGAGAGCGCATGCTGCTTGGCTTACCAGTTGCTCCTTATCGATGTGTGCGGTGCGCATCCCACGCCTTCCAATCTATCATATATTAACTTCCGTAGCTTAGCCGCTTTTGTCCCAACACTACGGCGTCGGATACGCTCCGCTGTAGAGGGCCGAGCAAATTGAACAAAGGCGATGCGAACATGCAATAGACGTTTGCTGTGGTAGGTAACTCCTGTTGCTAGTTGGTGATGAGGGTGTGAGGGGGGAGTACTCTCCTTAGTTCTTTCTTTGCTCCTCACAACATCCTACTCTGGCTATTTGAATCCATTGGCTCGGCTTGCTTCCGTCATGTTCGTGACGCTGCTGCATGGGGTGAGATGAAGTCAATATGCAAACTCTGGTTCTTGCGTCCAAGCAAACACTGTCGATGCTGTAGGTGGAGATTCTCAATCAACTCCTGCTGTTGGTCAAAGTCATACGCCTCACCGGAAATGTACCGGGTGTTCATTGTTCATGCAACGAGGCGGCGTTGATGAATATCTTGCAGATGTGTTGTGAGCTGGAATTAGCCAAGGTTAGACACATGTCATGAACTAGCAAGGTGTGATGTATAGCGCCTTCCAAGCCTTGTCTTGCCAAACATCATGCATTGAAGCTCGCAAGATTTGTCTGCTGACAGCAAAATGATTCATTGAGTCTGCTAGTCCTCGCGAGGGAACTAGCAGTGAGGAGAATTAATACAGGATTTGGTCTAGTAATTAAAGTTGTAGTAACCGAACAAAGTCTATGGCGGATCCGCCCCCAAGAACGACATTCGACAGCGAAGAAAAGTACAGATGAGATTTCATGTGGATCAAATGCTTTTTCCAGAAACCAAGTGGCCGAAGCCACAATTGTTTCATGCCAGAAAACCATCCACCCAGATCATCATCAAACGTCAATGTAAAGAACCCCCAAAACGCCACTCAAATGCCCGCTAAACATGGCACCGTGTTTGTAATCGTAATTCGTGCTTTCGTATCGTCAACATCTCATTCCTCAAAGTCTTCATACAACATGAATCCAGGCTGAGCGCGCATCTTCTTCGCGCCCCTGCCTTGATCCCAAGTTGGCGATGCTGGCCGAGAGGTGGCACGCGATGGCGGCTGTGACGAGTACATCTGTGGATACGACTGTTGTGTCGAGAATTGGAAGTTGTACGCTTGCGGGAAGCTATCCAAAGAATGAGGGCGGTGAAGCGCGTAGCCAGCCTGAGCTGACATTTGATCTGCTGTAGGACTGAGCATTGTTGGCGAGAAGTAGCTTTGACCGCGTTGGTGGGTGGCGTATTGTTGGGTTGGCGCGGGTGCAGGCATCGCAGTACCGTAGAAGCCCATACTAGCCTGGTTTGGAGCCTGAGTCGCAGGAGTGGGGTTCATCATCCGAGGGTACTGTGCTTCTCGTGGGAAAAACATGCTCTGTGAGTGGGGCAGTCCGGGAGCTTGTGGAACAATAGGTGTTGTGGGTAATGAGTACTGACTACTGCAGACAGTCGGAGAGTATTCGGACATGGGAACAGTGTACTGAAGCGACATGGAGTCATGTGGCCCAGTGGGAATGGTCAATGAGCTCAGGGC